ATTTAGCAAATGAAAAATCTATTGTATGATTCTCAGATTTTACCAAGACGTTCTGTAATTTGATATTTAAATACATTCGATTGCCCCACTTGTGTTGTCGTTCACTACACTATCTACCCAGACCTATAATTCTAAGCTGAAAGAAAACTAGGGGCTCTGGAGTACATGATATGACATCAACCCATGAAATACTTGATTAACCGTCTGAGACACATCTGAATGTGAAGCTTACACGATAGCTGAAACCTGTTTTTGAACATATTGGGTGACATGTTCAAACATAGATCTTAGTGAATCAGTGGCTATCACCTTATGCCTTACCCTAACTATAATGTTTGGTGTTATTTCACGTTCTACATCCCACATTCTTATTTCTTTCTTTCAGACTTTATTTTCCATGTTCAGATTTCCACTGTATTTGATATTGCTTTTTTAATTCTATGCTTATCATTCGGTTGTCTCCACTCGTGTTCTTTTTCACTACAGTAATAATGTAGTAAAGGATTATACGTTGACTATGGTTAACAAAAAAAACAACTTACTGTTGATGACTAGGCTTCAGTCAGCACTAAAGAATAGATAACAAGATAATTAGTTACTAGTAAGTACAAGTTACAAAACAGCCCAATCAGAGACATTGTGGTTGCTGACAATATGCATCGAAAACAATATACATTAATAAGATGTGGATTCCTGTACTGCGAACATCTAACTGGCGACCATTCAATATTCATCTCAATGGTCGATCAAGAAATAAGAAAGCGAAACTTGTTGAGATACTTTGTGCTGAGAATTCTATATTGTACCAAAAATATAACATTGAATAAAACCAATAATAATAATAATAATAATAATAATAATAATAATAATAATATGATCAATTATTATTGTTGTGAATTTATTTCGCTTATGCCCGTTAAGAATAAGTCTGCTAACGTGGCTATTGTATATGCTAAAGGATCGACTTGATCATACAGAACCTTAACTTATTCTCTAAACTACTAATCGGAATACTCGAAAGATCAGGAAAACACCTTACATTATTCCGTATTATTCAGACTAGTAAACATGATTATATGCATACAAAGCAAGAGTATTTATGCACTACGAATTTTAATATATACAAAGCTAAGTAACAGGTTTATTATTAATTCACTATAATTTACGGACTGTATATAATCAATACATAAAAGGGATCTATGTATACCGGATCACCAGATTTAAAAGTTCCACACTTTTACTTAACTACTCAGTCTTAACAAAAATCCATTTGAACTAGTGGCAATAAAATATCCATGATGTATCGTTTAATTAAGGCGTTATGTTCAATGATAATTTTCTAGATTTAACAGGTATACTTCGATGAAATTTATCCAGACCATATGAGCTACTTATGAGTAGTGTTTTAAATACACAAAAACGCATCTCAGATTCTCTAACTGCAAACCTTTATAACTTGTCTATAACAATGTACTTTTGAATGTTCAAAGCTTCACAGTGTCGAAGGTATTGAACTTTATTCTTCATCTATAAGACTAAGTATATCCGGATCGATGTATGAGAATAAAGATCACAAGTATTCGATAGAAGTTAACCAATAAGTTTGATTAAGAGACCTTTATCTGTTAATAAGAAATATATTTTTGTTGTATTCCAATGAATAGAAAAATTGTATTTGTGACGTTTCGTGACTTAATATAAGTGACTTCTTTAGAGTAAATGAATAACCGACATTAAATTAACACAAATCTAAACAGTACTTACATTAAGTTACGAAATGTCAGAAATACAATTTTTCTACTCATTAGGATATAACAAAAGATATATTTATTGGTAACTCTCTACCCAATGCTTAACTGATTTGGAACTGTCAAGTACAACCTTGTTGTGGATACCTTTATCTGTTCTTGAAATTACATATCATATTATCTAAAAGTTTCTTATAATAACAGGTTGAACTGGAATTCGACTCAATTATTACGTAAATACGATGAATTTACATCCATAATCGGATATTGACTGATTGAATGATGTAGTTAGCAATAGATAAAGTAACTACTAGTCAAATATATGCATCAAGTTGTTAAAATTTATATCGGCTCAGTGAATGAAATAAAATATTGACAGATTGGAATACAGTTGAGTTTAAATGATAAAATTAATGTTTATAAAAGAAACAAGAACACGGAGAATATATAAATCAGAAAGAATGATTAAACCCGAGAAGCAAACAGTTCGAAATAATCCTGAGAAAATCTATGGTACTCAACGCCAAGCTGAGCCATCTTTAGCTCTTTTTTGATGTTAGTCTTGCATTGGTGAGGGGAGTTCTAGCATATGCTTAAAAAGTCTGGCTTCTACGAGCTGAGAACGTTCGAGGACTCTGTGTTCGATCATCGGTGTCCTAGAAGAATTGCTGGTGGTCTTTGACATATTAGTAATGTGTTCAAGCACAGTGACAATGAATTACTCAATGTCACCATCTTGAAACACCTGATTCCATGGCTTAGACATATACTACAAGTGTCATCCCAGAGACTTCTACGTCGGGAATTAATTGTCAAAGCTGGGATTAGTTGGGAGAAGTGATGAGGTAATCAGTCTATGATATGAGGTCGTGGTATGAAAGTTGTGTTAGACCGGCATCTAACGGTCCTTTATAACATCTTGGTTGGGGTTCGAGAGGTAGAGCAACTCAGTAGCTTGAGACGTTATCAGATATGACTCAGAACAGAAGCCAATGGCGACCCTACCGTAATTTTTCTTTACATTCCTCATAAAAGTGAAAGCAATTCACTCAACTAAAAGGATTCTTTCTGGTTGTATTTGAACTGATCTGTTCCTTTAATTATATACTACTCCTATTCACTATATTTCTCTATCCATCTCCTTACAATTACACTTCCTTATTTGTGTATCAAATAAGCATATTTGGTCCACTGAAAATGACTTTGAGAGAGGTGTGATATAACTTTCTCAATTATACAAACTGTGATGATCTCGTGGACCTCAACAAGATCTTATGCTTAATGAATTTATAGACTATACTTGACCCTCTCACATGCAGAAAATAGTCAATGAAGGTTTATAGTCTGAAAAACTATATACCTTATCCTAACTTCAAAGGCACTTACCCAACGTCTTCATCAAACACGAGTGATGCTTTGAAGACACCGAAAATAGAATGCTACCAATTTATGTATATCCTCAACGTTCACAAGTCAAGTTTCACAACCATTAGGCAATACGGAAGAGGGATATGTCTAGTATATTTGGCCATTGACATGTAAAAGCTAAGTGGTATCAACTGGGTACAAAAGCTAATATTTTACAAATTGTATTAGCCCAGTTAGTCCAACGGCGGTAACTACAAGAAGATATCTGACGTGTCTTGTAAACTGTAATGAACAATGATCGCAACTAGACAGACAAAACTACGTTCAACTTCCAGGCTTTACTTAATATCTCCGTCAAGGATATTGATAATGCTGTCATCATGTAAACAGACCTTGAGAATTAACCCATCAAATATTGCTTCTCTATCATGTCACAACTTTGTTATAGCCAATTGTTGATATCACCTTTAGGTTACGGGAAGAGAATTAAAGGTTAACGGGAGGTCAGTTAAACAGCTTCTTAAGGGGTTCCCCAGACCATCATCGATAAAATGATTTTTATTTACCTATTTAAACACACATTGTTGCAAGAAGGCATCAAATAGATATACGCCACATAAACCATTCAATTTGTGTGAGGACTGAGATACTGCCCGGGTGCCCAAATCGAAGCAGGTAGTTTTCTTAAGAGGCCACACCTGGAGCCTTCGACCTGAAGGTTTGATCCACAAGGCAGTGCAACAACGTAAGGGAATACAGTTCCATGGTAGCCGCTGACCAATAATTGGTTCTTACTCCTTTTGTTCCCTCAGGATACTGGAGCCAATGTGCACCACTGGTTTGGAGTCAGGGTTTTCCAAATCTCCTAAACGGACCCTCCATATCCACCAACCTGACTAAAGATCCGGACACTCGCTTTTTGTCCCCTCAATATCATAAACACCCCCGCCACGAATATTTTAGCTAAAATCTGGGAGTTGGACGTAATCCCCTCTGACTGTTCACAATCACTTATCGTCCCAATATATAAGAAAGGGTCAAAATCATCCTGCGACAACCATAGAGGGGTTAGTTTAACTAACATAGTGAACTGCAAACACGACAGAATCAAGCTGGCTTCGCTTCATATCTTTCTCTCTACGAACTAATTCTTTATTCCTGTACTATCTCCTTATATGCAATCTTTCTTCTATATATTACCACAACTGAATTAACTACTTTTATGAATTCGGTGTTCATCTTGTTGTGCTAATGCGGTATGGCAACTTGGACCGATGCATATATGTGCCTGGTCCTCCGTTGCAGCTGACTAACTGACCCCCGCCACGAAAAGGCAGTGAGTAGGACTTCTCTGGCAGTTGTTGTATACGCGTGATCATATGAGAGAATTTGAAGAGGAAAAGCTGACTCTACTCACCGTCAGTCGTGCCACGGCAGAATCTTTTCATGACTTCCTACATTAGGTTTCTTTTGATAATTTTAAACAGCTGCCTAGTGTTACCTACCATCGTCATTTCTAATCTTTTATGCCTTTATTAACTATAGCTACTTACTAGTTGTGATTATCAAAGACAAAAATAATTGAATTACACTAATCATAAAACATTGTTAAGTATAAAATATCGTTAATTTTATTCTATAAGTTAATTATGCAATGAACACAAATGATACGACATTAATTCTCTATAATTTCATATATTATCAGTGTTAGTTGATTAATATTTTTAAAAAAAAATGTTAAGACCGATAAAAAGTATTAAAGCATTAAAGCAGTTGAAAATAGAGAACGCGAAAAAAAAAGTTAAACATGAGAACAATGAAAATACACAATGGAAAAGTTACAAACGAATCTAAAATTAATCCTATATATGCAAGAAAATACTCACTTAAAAATGCATTATTATTATTATTATTAACACAAAATAATAAGAACTAATAAATTAGAGAGATAGAAATCTTCAAAGCATTATCTTCTAAAATTCATGATAATGTACAACTGAATGGACAACAAATTTGTGTTCTGCGTTGAACAGGTGTTGAAAGATGCAAATCCCAATCATCATAGTTATCGGTATTTGTTAAATTTGATCGATTATGAATTAGTCGATCATTTTTTAAATAATCACACAAGCCTTTATTGGCAACTTTTTGGAACAATGCGCCGTCAAACTCTTCACTGTAAAAAAAAACACAGAAAAAACATGATAATGATATTACATATATGTAGATACCTAATTAGGGAGTGAGCGATCTATGAAATCTGCATTAAACAATCCTTTAGATTTGAAGATGACATTTAATCATGTTTATTTTTATGTTAAGCAAATAGGTTATGTTAAAAGCTGTTTGTTGCTCAGTTGTGTTATCGCTTCACATTATTTACTTTCGCTTGCATTAATAATTGTCTCATGGATAATTATCAGTCGGCTACATTGTTTATCTTTTATTTATTTTAACACATAGATATTGGTACGAGAAGGCATAAAATACATATGCACCAAACAAATCTCATTTGAGTTGTGTGAGCGCTGTGATACTTCCTGGGTGCCCAAACCAAAGCAGGTGGTTTTCTTAGGGGGCACATCCGGAGACTTCAACCTAAAAATCTGAACCACGAGGCAGTGGAGCAACATCAGGAGATGCAGTCCTATGGTAGCCGGTGACCAACGATTGGTTCATACGCCGTTTATTCCTTCAGGAGAATACTGGAACCCATGTGCACTATTGGTTTTAGATCAGGGTTTTCCAAATCCCCTAGGTGGACTCTCCATGTCCACCAACCCGGCTCAAGCGCCGGACATTCGCTTTTTGTCCTCTCACTTTCGTAAACAACACTCCCGCCACGAGAAGGCAGTGAGTAGGACTTCTCTGGCAAAGGCTGTATACATGTGGCCATGTAAGAGCATTTTGAGAGGGTAAGCGGACTCTCCCCACTCTCGATCGTACCAGGGCATTTGGGGCCATATTGTATATTCCTTTTCTATCGATCACCATTCTGTTCATCAGTTCAACAATTGAAACGTTCCCACGAAAAACTCAAAATAATTCTTCATAAAAATCATTACAATATATAAGTAAAGGTGTTACATAAAAGGCTAATTGTAACGCTGTAATCTATTGACCTCAGGTATATAAATGTAAACAAGTGAATTTTATGGACTGGACATTGCTAAAATAAGTGTGAAGGTTAGACTATGCTTTAATTCTTGGCAACGCCATTTAAATTATCTTATTGATTGGTAATTTATTTTCTGATAGGTTAATCAGAATAGTTGAACTGTCAGTGAAGCAAGGAACAGCAAAAAATCCCGTATCGAACAATAGAAACCCGAAATCGTACAAGTTGTGTGTTGCTATTGTGCCAAGATACTTAGTGTAGGTCACGTTAACTAGCATTTATCAAACCGTTAATAATATGGATTAATAGACGTCTATCTGTGCAACCAACCAATACCGATTCTACCAGACAAATAAACTTAGCAGTTTTTAAAAAAAAACATTACTGGCCAAACGAAAGTACTTGAACCCGGTTGTGAGCCACCATTGTCAAGTGAAATACATCAGCTAACCGTTAAAACATACCAGAACTGAGGTTTTAATGATTGGTGTTTAAACGTGTATAACATGGGTTGATAATGGTCTTTCGAAAACTTCCATTAACAAAGTTTCCACTTTCTACACACAGCATTAGTGATTTGAGTGATCACATTGAAAAATATTTAATGAAGTGTCGTCTAACAGATTATTCATGTGAAATTATCTAGGCACGGAAAGTGAATTCATATAAAACAAAATCTATGTTCCTAACTCCACGGAATTACTGTCTAGAGATCTATAAAGATGGAGTTGTACACTGCTACTAAACGTACAGGACACCAAGTCTAATATACATTGTTTATGTAAATGAACGGGTTATGTGGTACCTACTATTATAAATGAACAATTAATAAGGATAATGAAAAAACGAACCTATCGTCATCACAATTTACATTGATAAGAGGCATATGTTTTGTATAGTCATTTATACGCCAAAATTGATTTGAAGTATCATTTTTAGGGAAACGGAGTTTATCTTTTGGTAAAAGTTTATAGCGTCTTGGATGTTTTGGTTTGACAACTGTAATAGAAGGAAAACTGGATTTGTTTGAAGTCTCTTCAGACTGAATTAATGGTGATTTATCGGCACTGACGTCCATAACTATCACCCAAAAGTGACGTTAAACGTGATGAGAATAGTGAACCTTTTGTACACAAAAGCAAATTAAAATTAGGGCAATACAACAGTGAACATAAAACTCGCGACCAATCAGTAATAAAACAATTAAGTGTAAGTAGTTGTTCATAATCAGGAGGGTGACCATACCATAGGGGGTTTTTCGGTGAGACTATAATTTATGGACGATCTTGGAGCGACGCTAAAGTGACCTTGAGAGTGTCTACTTACCTACTAGGGCTAAATGAGGGTTTATAACCGACTTTGAGGTACACTGTTTTGTGTAAGGTTAAATGAAACCACCTGGCTGCCCAGTGAGAAGTAGAGTTAGAACTTGTGAACTACTTTCCAAAACCCAAGTGCTTTAACCATTACAACACTGATAAATTGTTCGAAATTTGAAAGAATAAGAAATGAATCTGTATTTACCCTACATTTCGTCAGTCCATTAATCACTTTTGGAAAGTCCTTCTATAACGATGCAAAGTATAAAAACTTGGACTAAGGCACTATACTAGGCCTCATATCTCCCCCAATGCTTTTCATTGCATCCCAACAAGTCAATACTTGAATTTAAGAGTAAGATTTGTGACAACAGTGAGCTCGACAGCGCGAACCATACTTATAAGGTCATCATACCATTATAAGTGGTTGGTTTTTAATCCAAAATACATGTATGAGGTTGATATAGCATAGGCTGGATGAATATATTTACACCATATTTTGTTCTGCACAGTTCGGCCGAAAATTCTCTTGAATTAATAAAAAAAGCAACAAAGAAAAGTAGATAGGGACGAACCGTGATACATGGTCGACAGTATTTGTCCTTACAAAGCAATTATATTGTGTATATGCAGTATAGTGTACTTTGTTTCAGACAAATAGGGATAAGGTAACCATACAAAGTAGCAGCTATGTAACACCAAATATGTTGACTGTAGAAATCAAAGTAAGGCAACTCATAACTCACGACCCATATACTTTTTGGACCTCATAAATATGAAATTGAGCAATACACTGTTATTATTTGCCTGTTGATCAGTATAGAAAGGTGAAATTTATGCCCAAGTCTTAGCAACAAGGGACCTACATGAACTCCTCAAGCTCCCAACTTTGGGGAAACACTACTGATCAGTAGTGTTACATTCCTATTAGAGGTGATTGCCAAAATATACGACAAAATCTAATCACATAACTTTTATGATGATGTACTAAAACATAGTGGACTAGTTGCTTTAATAAGTTGTTGGATTATTATAAAAATATATTGGGTCACTGGATCATGCTTGGAACATATTGATTTTAATTCAGAGCTAAGTATTGAAATAAGTCCTCAAACAGTATTGGAAGTTCAAGACACTGGATTGTCTATTTATTGCAATAAACAGTGATATATCGCTGTCTACAACTCATGAGTATAGCATCTGTAATCATGAGGCACGACACGGTTATTAAGTAACTTTACAAACCAAGTGAAAAAAATGGGGAATAACTAGCTGTTTGTTTGGTCTGAGAGTCCACAAAAATTTGCTTTACAAGAAGCTTTCAGTTGACGCACGAGCCCAACACATCTGCACGAACCGCACATATTTGAAGCAGACCGTTCATAGAATAAGCGAACTTCCAATATCCAATTTAATCAGTCTGTCTTCAGTCTTCAGTAATAAGGATAGTAGGTTAGTGAACCTGTGTTAATCCTTACAGGTTGCCTTCCAGTGAATGTCCAGTTTCTCCTTGAAAATATTCACTGATGGGGCTGATACCGCTTGTTCGGACAAGCGTTCCAATCATTGACTACTTAATGAGAAAAACGGAACCCCACCTTGAGTTTATTAGATCGTGGTTTATGAACCTTCTTGCTATGACGTCGGAGATTATTAGTGCTGGAGGGAGCAAAAAGATAAGACATATTAACACCCAAATCATAATTAAAGATATGAAATGTCAGTATAAGGTCACCTCGAGTCCTACGATACGACAAGGGGAAAAGGTTTGAGCGTTTTAAACGCTCATCGTAAGGGATTTTAGAAAGACCCTTCACTAATTTCGTTCCCACACACTGGACACGCTCAAGTGAGGTAGTATCCTTTATCAGACATAGGCTAGCTGCTTGGATACAGTACTCTAAATGTGGTCTTACATAGGTGGGATATAAAATTCGAAACATTTCCTCGTCAAAGGATCTGAACGCTCGGCGAAGTGACCACAACTCACGAAAACCTTTGACAGCTGCTGCGTTGCAATGCGTAGTTGTTTTTAGGTCATGACTTATCATTACTCCTAAGTCTTTATGTTCTTGAACGCATGGAAGAGGTTTACCATCAATAGTATAATGGTAACTATTGCCGTGACCGATGTGCATTAGCACACTCTTCCTAGAATTGATTTTTAAACCCCAATCTGGAGCCCATCTAACTAAATCATCTAAGTCAGCTTGGAGATCCAGATGATCAACCTCACTTCTTATTGTTCTCCAGATTTTGACATCATCCTCAAGTAATAATGTCGACGACCTAAGCAACAGCGGTAATTCATTTACGTAGAGAAGGGAAAACAGAGGGCCTAAGATGGTGCCTTGGGGTACACCACTTTTGATCGGCACACAATCGGATAGCGTCCCATCGACCCTCACTCTCTGTCTGCGGTCACATAAGAAGTTTACTATCCACTCCTGTACAGTGCCTATTATTCCGAAGCTTGTGAGCTTCTGCATAGGACCTAAGTGTGAAGCCTTGTCAAATGCTTTGCTAAAATGTATGAATATAACATCGACAGATAGACCTTCATCTAAGGCTGCTGTCCAATCCTCTCTCGCAATAAGTAAGTTAGTCAAGCATGAACGCTTGTCACGAAACCCATGTTGCTCAGGAGCTAACAGATTGTGTGAATCTATGTGGCTTAGCAACCTAACCCGAACTATCTTTTCAAGTAACTTAACGACAATGCCAGTCAGATGAGTTGAGCGAGTGAAAGAGACATGTTGAAGAGTGTCGCGAGCGGTTTTGAAATAATATCCGCAAGAGATTATAGCAGCCGTGAATGTAACCCGTCAAGACCCGGTATCTTACCAGGTTTGAGGTTAATTATTAACGGAAGGACAGTTTCCTCAGTCACCTGTACAGATTCAATGGCTGGTATCTCGGTGTGATTGGGACAAGTATTTTTTACAATAAACGGGGAGTAGACTTCGCTAAAATAGTTTGAAAATGTCTCAGCTTTGGCTCGATCTGATTCAGCTAGTAAATCTGAATTATCGTGTAACAATTATGGGGGAATACTATCACTACGTTTTATTCGCCGTTTAACATACGGAAACAATTGTTTTGGACAAGTACGGCTATCATATACCAACTGTCTTTCGTAAGTAGTACGGGATTTAGCTATTGTTTTCTTACAAATATTCCGGAGTTTTTGGTACTCACGCTTAAAGGATGCATGACCTGTCAACAAGAATAAGTCCCAGAAGTGTTTCCTACGCTTCAACAGCTTACGGGTTTCCTTATTAATCCATGGAGGGCAATGCGATAGCTTACGTGTTAACCATGGGATAAACGGCGACGTTACGGACTCGAATGTAGCCTTAAACTTATTCCATTCATCGATCTGCGTCAACCGACCAATCAGTCGAGATAGCACAATCTCTGATTGTCGGAATATTAGCCCACCAGATATTGTGACGGGGTGGAGCAGATACAAATCGTATACCATGTGTCCTAAACTTAAAGTGAAGTACAACGTGATCACTGTTCACTAGTGGAGGAAGGTGCTGAATATCAAAGACATCCTCACAGTGGTGGGTGAGGGCGAGGTCCAGCAGTAACGGATGACGTTTCAAATCGATATGTGTCGGTTTAGTGATACATTGGACAAGTGCACACTGAATAACTGTTGATAAAAGTTCGTTATCGAAACCTTCACCTGGAGCTGTAAGCTCCATCCAGTTTATGTGCGGCGCGTTGAAGTCCCCAATGATGAGGCAACATTCTGCCATACTCCAAGAACAGATGTGTCTTAGGATAAAGTCATCAGCAAGATAACACGGACTACGGTATATTCCCCCTATAGTCACTAACCCATTTCTAGATTTAATCTTACAACATGCTACCTCACATGTACCACTAACATGAGCCCACGATATGATTGATTGAATACGAAAGTGATCCCTAATGTATAACATTATGCCTCCCCCCTTGCGACTTAAAACTCTATCACTTCTAATACAGATAGATCCTGCAATGATGGGAGAACATTCTATATATATACGGTGAACCAAGTTTCTGTAATGACAATTATATCGGGACTTAATTCATCCACAATCAGACTTAGCTCGGACGTTTTATTCCTAAGACTACGGGCGTTCGTGTAGCACACACTTTAGGTGTTTCGGTAATCATTCGTTCTACCCATACATGCCTCGGAAGCATTGGCTTCCAAGACCTGACTACCCGAAAACCCTTAATGATAAGGTTAGTTTCACCATTTAACTTGCGAGTTCTCAACTCCGTAAGAGCATCCTTCCACTTGATCCGATCCTCAAGCGGCCAATCTGGTCGGATACGAATATTTGAATCACGAATTTTTTGTGCGTTTTTCAATAACATATCTCTTTTTTCAAAACCCCCTAGAACCAGCTTCAAGATCCTTCTTGGTTGGGTCTCGCCTCCAACCCATTTACCGAGTCGTATCACTTTCGTGATATGTAGTCCTGAAACTTCTTCAGGTAGTAAGTTTCTTACCACGGATCCTACTAACTTCAGATCATGTGTTTGTCTCTTAGCAGAGTTGTTGTCTATGGACTCCTCTAGATTCCAAATAATTAAGCTAGGGAGTGGTTTAGCTTCTTTTGGAATCGTGTTTACAGCTATCGATCGTGACCTTACATCCTGTATATTAGCTACTGGTATCTTACAATTAGTTTTTATTGTAACAGAGTCATTGGAGTCGAGCGAGTGACTCACAACAATGTTTGACGAGGCTTTACTTTGGGACTTTGGCGGGGTGGTCTGAGAGTCTACCAAAGACTTATCAAGTAAACGGTCATTATTTTTAACTGTCTTTACTACTCTTCTGCGTTTCCGCGTCATCCATATTCCATCAGCCGTAGCATCTACATCACAACTGCTCGGGACAGTAATTGTTTTATCTGGATCACCAGTTGCCGCTGTAGCAACATGGCCACCAACATCTAATGAGGTGTCACTCATTGATTGTTTCGGGGTAAAAATGTCGGTCTCGGGTTGCACAGTTAGATGTCTGACTTGCAAGCTATTGTGATTTTAACTTTCATTTTAATCTAACTTAGCAAAATCACAGAACGGTTTGTCCCTTCGAATCCGTATCTGGGTATAAGGGGAACGACCTTGGAAACAATAATCTGTGATTAATTTTGTAGGGCCAGTGAAACGTCACTGGTCCCTAACCAATTTATCCAGAAGGCAGGTTTCTGGTTGTTGAACTGTTTATCGGTCCTCATCAAAGTCAAGGACAACTAACACTTATCAATCAACAGCATGTCAGGGACAGGCACATGCGGCAGTGATCTCACTCAGTCTCTCTAATCTATTCTAACTAGTACAGTTCTTCCAAAACGTCTTGTTTGTTCTGTATGGTCATCAAAGTAGCCAAAGTACCCGGATATGAAGGAAGGGCAGTAAATGTTACCAATTAACCGCGAGTTGTGATTTCCATGTTCGCTAAGATGTTACATCATTCCCGAACAATTACAGTTTATCTCAACCATTCACACAGATTACCTACGTTGGCGATTGACAAACTCTTTATTTTCCTTCTGAAAACTGAAGGACCTTACGAAATCAGCCAAAAACAGAAGTGATAAGGCGACAACATTTGGCGTAATTCCCTCATTAATTGTGGCACATGTAGAGTATTTTCTGAAAGGACTGACAGAAGGTGCCCTTATCATCGCCTCTGGTAATGAGTTCCATAGTTTCGTGATTCTGACCACGGAAAGCCTGCCCGGAGTTTGTACAGATTCCTCCACGTTATTTTTTAAACACATGTATACTCAAGTATTATTTAGTAACAAAGTGAACTTGACTGGAAGTCAAGAACTTTTATGGGAGCTGATTAGGCTCATTTGATCTAGGCAATTTCATAGTTTCCCTTCTTTGAACACGTTCCAGGACATCAATATCCTTCTTAAAGCACGAGATATAACCCAGACGTTTTTCTCGGGTAAACGTTATTTATAGACAATAAAAAGTCTTCGATACTGTGTGGTAACATCAACATTATGGATTTATTGGCGTTGAGGGGACGTTTTCTGGTATTGCAATACTGTTCCCTAGATATGTCTTCTTGGAGTGTAACGACACCAAAATTTAAATTTTCTATAGCATTGATAAAATACTATGTCTTCTATTTCTATATGATATATGTTCACTTGGAATGTGCCCTGATGACCTTAATGACTGGTTCTGAAGCTAGGACAAGCGTAATTCAGAGATAACTTTATTTAGCGTTATGTCCACTATAAAAGGTATTTGCAGTAAGGTGCTGGACTCAGAACTATCATAGCGTCGACGGCAATAGACTACCCGGGCAGACTTGGGTCTCCCAGCATTGGGTCCCTAAATGGTGGTTCCCAAAAACTTTGTGGGTGATTGGAACCCCGCTACCAAAATTAAAATGGACCAGGAGTCACTGTCCAAGAAGCTAAATATCCTATGTATTGCAGGGAAATCAAGTGGTGATTTGACCGCACAGTCTACC